TCTATCCTGAGAAGATCTCTGTTACCACAAAGGGAACAAATGGCCTTTGCAAAGGATGCACAAGCAAGCTCTCCACCAGGATGCCTGCTTTTCCAGCAGCAATGGCTGCTGTTATTGTGTTGCTGGCAGGGAAGGGAAGGGAAGGGAAGCTGGAGAGAGCTGGAGACGCCCAAAGGGAAGGAAACATTAGAGCAGAGCTGGGGCCTCAGCAAGCTGTCTCCAGAAAAATCTAGCGTGCTCGCAAGGCAGGCACCATCTCCGTCTCACTCCTTGCGCAAAGTACACCCACTCATATTTCCCATGCCACTGCCAAAATGCACTTGCACAGAGCCCCAGAAGGGCCCTGACAAAGGCCAGGACGTATCAAGCAAAATAAGCCTGTCTCCTCCCCTGCCAGTCTGCAGCCCTGCACAGCTCCTCCATTCCAGGACGTATCTGGCTCCAAGCACTTAGTTTGTTATCGTAAGCAGCTAATGACAGCCATAGCCATTAGCTCTGTGCCTTGTTCCCAATAAGGAAAAGGATCCACTAACTTTAGGATTTGCAGGACTTTAGTGGGAGGGAATGGAGGGGGGGAGGTTGAAAGGAGTCTGGAAGCACAGAAAAATCCAACACTGCTGTCACAGGCTGTGACAAGCATGGAATGAAACTGACAAGCAGGGGGAAAAGTACAAGAAGGACTGGACAGAAGGTGGTCCCCAAGTCCAGCATCAGATTCACATGCTGCGGTGACAGCTTTCCCTAGCCCAACCACAATTTAATTTCCTTTCCTTCCTTTTTTTAAAAAGGAAATCATATAAAAAGTGAGACATGACTGTCCTCTGGCTGTCGTGTCAGCAAGAGAAACTCCTCCTATGGAGATCAGCCAGAGGCCCCTGTCCAACTAGTACACTCTGCATCCCCTGTTCCCAGTTCCCTCCATACTTATAACAGCCTTTGGAAAGAGTAGAGACTTCCTTCTCTCTTTCTGACATCACTTCCCAGTTTTCATTTATGTCAAATACAGCCTTTCTGTTCTGGTCTGTTTTGGAGGGTGGCGTTCATGTGTATTTTGGGCACCCACCAAAAATGCCCTCAGTGGGGCCAACGCTCCAGCTCCCATGGTTCTACAAACAGACAAACCAGCCAACACTAGTCAAAGGTCAGTCCCCAGGCCCACCTAGTCCTCAAAGGCAGTTCAAGGGGAAAGGAGAGAATGTTTGCACTGAATCAACTGCACACATCTTCCTGAAGGCCAACCACCTTCTCATGCATGAGTCATTAACCCCAGCCCCACACGCACACTGTGTGGATGTAGAGCTGAAGGCTTTCCTCACCTTCTATGTTGCTACTACCAGCACCAGTTTCAGTCTGATGTGTTTAAGCACAAACCACAGCTTTCAGCAATGAACCTCTCAGGGGTTGTTTCCCCAACAACCCCCACACAGCCTTGAGTCAGGCTTTCCAAGCAATGGGGCTTAGGCTCCATTCGGGGAAATGCACCTGTAACCACAAGAGCAAACAACAGTTCCTGCAGGTGCCTGTTACACAGAAAACAGGGAAGACTTGACTGGATGGGATCTGGGGTACTCAACCTCTCCAAAAACCAGGTCCTGACCATTGGCTCAGAACCCCATGGTGAACCAGAATTCAATTTGGCTCTCCTGGGTCCCATTGCTTTACCTGCATGACCACACACAATACAATTTGGCTCTGACCCCAGAACAGCATTTGCATCCTACTTTGTGTAAGCGGGAACATTATCATTCACATAACTTCCTATCTTTCTTAATCTCTAGTCTTACTTGCACCTTGTAGCAGTGAGTTTCAAACTAATTATATAGTGGGGGAGGGGAAAAAATCCATTTGGAAGTTTAAATGTGCTGCCTGTCAATTAAATGGAATGCCAACTTGCTTCTCATCATAAAGGCGGGGTTAAGAGGAGCAATTTATCAACTCCAGGCCATCTGTTATGATCTACAGCTTCTATCTACCACATCCTCTCCTATTAGCCTCCTCTCCATCTGCAAGTCTGTTTAGATTGCCAATAATTTTTCCTCGCTGCCTCCAGACTCTCTCTCCCTCTCTCTGTATTGTCCTTCTGGAAATGGGATTCCAGAATTACAAGTGAGGAGGGATCACTGCTTTCCAGGATAGTATAATATGTTCTCCCACCCTCTCTGCAGCTTCATGCTACAGTCAGAGCTGGCCAACCCCTTTGTGCCCTGCCCATTGGGTTCTTTTACCCTTGCCATGCAGTATCATTCACTTTGCCCCTTTGAAAGAGTAGACAATGCAGGGAGACTCCCCATGAGCGATGACACAGAAATTGTCTTTGCAGGCTCAGGTTTTCTTATCCCAGAAGAAATGCCAGCAGGGTCAAGAGAGAAGAACTGTGCAAAATAGGTGCTTAGCCTCTTACTGAGAAGTTTGGCTTATCTCTTGAAACACCGCCTTTGTGCACAGCAAGATTAAGAGGTAACCCTTGATACTTGGTCAGCCCAAGTGCCCACCACTTCAACTGACTACCTTTGTTCATACTCACTCCCAGCAACACTGGGAAGAGCACTCTGGGGATGCAAATACCAGACAGCAATGTCTGACAAGGGGTGAGAGCTCCCATCATGGGCACCAGGGGCACACAGGAGAACATAGAAAGCAGTCATCACCAAAGTCCTCAAACTGGATAGTGGTTTGCCTTGGTCACAGTCCCACTCACTTCACTACACACCAGCACGAAACAAGCTGTGTGCAGGCTCTGCTAGGCCTACCGCAGGAAGGAAAGATTTTAACAAGCTAAATACTCTCTTCCAACCTAGGTTCAGGTGGAGAAAGGAGGTATAACAGCCTCAGAGGGGGAGAACAAAGGAAGGAGATGAACTAACTGGTCAGGGATAGGCCTAGGGCGGACCTCAAGGAACTGCAAAGGAGATGGCTCAAGCAGGGCTGGGAAGGAAGATTTCACCAGCGAGATGGATGAGGTCAGGTAGTGGTTTCCCAGGGGAGGGGCTAGGAGACTCATTACTGGGGACACTGAACCCTAGGCTGGATGAAGCAGTAGCAAATTGTGCTGCAGGAATCGCATTAGGCCAGGAGAGCTTCCCTCCATCTTGCTCCTCAGGGCAGAGTGAAGAGCACCCATGCCCCCTGGTGTTTAACCTGCAGCACTTCACTCCCGTCCACATTTCACTTCAGCATCACACAAAAATAGGGCATACTGCCCATCCCAGTTTAGGGCAGTAGGAAGATACAGGATCCCAGCCACTCTGTCCCTCCCTAGGGACAGACACAGGGTCCCAGCCACCTCTGTCTCCTTCCAACCAGCGTTAATCTGGGTAGAGAGCTACTTAAACAATTGCCTGATGAAGACTTTGGTATCTAATGACAAAGGGACATTGAAATGGGGACTCCTTACGGGACTTGGAAGGTCTGTGGTTGGCAGCATCTTTTAGTCCATCATTCAAAGCACTCAAGGGAAGAGCAGGAATTACTGAAATACCAGGTATAGGGCAGACACTCGCAGGCAGCTAAAGCATGTCAAACTGAAACCAGGAAATGGTAAGCTCTACATAACAGGCACAATGCCTTCCTGTTGTGTCTGTATAGCAGCCTGCATAAAGAGGGCCAGATCCAGTTAACTGAATCACAGAGTTGGAAGGGACCTCAAAGGTTATCTAGTCCAAATCCCTGCAGACATAGAATGCACTGCTCCTAGACCAACACAGAAAGAGGTCTATCCAGCCTCCCCTGGAGAATGCCTTGTGAAGGAGATTCTACTAATGGGGTGATACAATTAAAGACCAGAGAGCATTAGGGCCCAGGATCTAGGATCTCTTCCCTCACCTCATAACAAAGAACTTACCCTAGAAACTCACCTCAGTAGGTCCTATGCCACCATTAGTCCTAGCCACCCTGCCAGGTGATACCTCTCTCACCATGGGTGTACCTGCCATCTAATAGGCAGACAAGGCTGTTTGGGTAAATTCGGTATCTTTTATTAGACCAAAGAATTTTCGAGTTGGTCTAATAAAAGATATCGGATTTACCCAAAGAACCTTGTCTGCCCTATGTCCTTAGACCCCCCATGGCTACAACCTACAATCCTACTGTCTAATGCTACTGATGGACTGACTAAGCCAGAGGCGCTCAACCTTTTTTTGCATCAGGACCCATTTGTAGACATTGATGGCCAGTCCTGACCCAGTGCCCCTCACTCCTGACCGGCTGCCCCCTGTCCCCAGCTCCTTAGTGTGTGGGGCAGAGAGTGAGTGTGTGTCGGGCATGGGGGGCCCCAAGCAGCCCCTTGCAGGCTGGAACTCTGCTAGCTTGTAAGGGAAAAGCCACATTTCCCACATTTTTCTCCTTTAAAGGAGAATCCATTTTTAAACTTTGTTCACAACCCTTTCATATATTCTTCTGATCCACTTTTGGGTCGCAACTCACAGGTTGAGAAATGCTGGACTAAGGGGTTCCACCAATAGGTCCTCTAAATATATCTAGCAGGCAAGCCACCTCCGAAATGTGACTGCAGACCCGTCTGACTCAAATGTCCCCTTCCACCCCCCCTCAGTCAGACTCCTTTAGGTCATCTCTCTCTCTTAGGTCCTCTTCAAGTTCTTTACCAGAGTTCCAGTCACCGTGGTTAGGCACAATGCTATGCATTCACTTTGAAGAATACAAAGACAATGCAACTTGGAAAGAAGCCACCAGCTGCTCCATTGTCCCTAGTATCTTGTCAGTGGGAAAGCTGCCTCACAACAAGACTCTTAAAGGCACAAGGGTAACCAAGTCAAGGCTGCCATGTTAGCAGACAAGTCCAGCACAGAAGGCTGCCCTCTGGAACAAGGTTAATGACACACAGGGCGGGCAGGCAGGCAGCCTGGTCTTGAGCAGCCTTGGTTAGTACAGACACAGGAGGGTGAGTGGGACAAGGTAGGTGGCAGAGAAGAGCTCTTGGTTAGCGATGCTGCAGCAGTTGTTGAACTACACAGCTTGGGCAAGCTAATAAAAATGCCACATACTTATATACCGCTGGCCTGTGCTTTATCCTCCTGGTTCCCCAACGGTTGGGCTGGTTGCCCTGGAGACAAGGGAAGACGCCTTTGTGGGGCAGATGGAGTCTAGGGACACAAAGAGAGTGGTCAGCAAGTGCCCTGCACACCCTTCCCACCAGTGTCTCCCCACCCACCCCAAACACAGCATGGCCCTGTTCTTCCTAGTGCCCAGGGCTCCAGGACTTTCAGGGTCCCACAGCCCCCTCCCCATTGCCCTGTCACCCTCCTGCTACCACATGAACAGCTCAATAACAACAACATGCCTGTGAAGCCTTGTCCAGCCTCCTGGAGGGGCAGTGATACCACAATAGGAAGGGGAAGGCCTCCTTTCCATTTCAGAGCCAGCCAAGACCAAACACAGCCCAGAGGCCTCTGCTGCCACTGACCAGGCCCACCCTGCAGCCTTTGTGCCCATACCCACTCCAGCCACCCAGGTCAAAGGAGATTGGGGTACGGGCCCTCTAGGAACCGTCACGGCCCTGGCCTGGGATCAGGGGGGTGGGGGGGACATGCACTGATTCAGGCCATGCCTACTAGACTCCAGGCCTGGCTGACAGAAGAGCAATTCATGCTTCCTTCACTCCAGGGCTCAGCAAGAAACACTCTGGGGACTTCTGGTGTGGGAAGCAATTAGACTGTGTCTTTCCCACATGTCCTGTCATCATCATGTCCCCTGCTGTGTTAGGCCCAACAACAAGACAATAATCAAATGCAGCAGATGATGCTCCCCACCAGGGGGCAGCACCTCCTTCTGAGTTGGGGGAAGCTGTGAGTCACGCTTCAAAGGGCTGCAGGTGTGTGCATGACCCAGATCCCTCTCACAGGGCTCAGGGAGGAGGGACAGGTGGCTTCTGGCCATTGCAACAGGCTGGCTCCTGCCTCCCCCCAGCAGGTTGGCTGCTAGTCACCGTTACTGATTTGGAATTCAAATAAATTTCAAAAGGACTGGGCAAACTTTGCCTGAGCGAGAACAAAGCCCTGCCTAATCAGGGGAAGAGGAGGGCAAGGAAGCAGGAACTGGACTCTCCAGACTCTGCATTCAGGCACTGGTCAGCTTGTGCACACTCCTTAGGGCAAAGGAAACAGCACTTCTGACCAAGCAGCAGGGTGTGGACATGGCTTATAGACCCCCCACCTCAGATTACTGGTTTGAATCCCACCTAGGGCAGGAGGTGGTGTAAAGTCAATCAGTCAAGGAAATCAAAGGTAGAAAAAAACCCACTCAAAGCTGCCCACTCTCCCCACCTGTTTCCTCTGACATTCAAATTAGAGTCAAAACACCTGTGCAGCTGGGTCCTTGTTGGCATTTTCAACCTCGGGAGTGTGCCCTTCCCCTCTGCTTCCCAGCATGGGCCAGCTGGGCAAGGCTGAGGCATGCACACACAGTACCAGCATGTCACCAACAAATAATGGCCTATAAAGAGCTCTTACGTGGGCTGGCAGCATTGATTCCCAGCTGCAATCTGTGCGACACACCTTTGAAAGCAAGGCTAAGAACACAGCCCACTCCCCCCACCCCCAGCCCAACCAGAGTGCCACCCTTCTTAGACAGGACACTGCAATTGCCCTCATGACCCTGGATATCTCATCCTGTACCACTGGGCTGGTCTAACATCCGTCTCTCACACAGACACGTTCCCAGCACCACATCATTCTGTCTAGCTCACAGAAGCTTCATCTGCATTAGAGGAGCAAAGAGTCAATGTGCCTCTTCTACAGACCTGATAACCACCTTATCACTTGTCCAATGGCTTGCAGGCCCTGGTAGCCACATCCCACTGTGAAAAGGCTGATTACATGAGGAGGATCTGAGAAAAAATTAGCTAAAGGGCAGTTCTTACCCCAGGGCCCAGTACCAAATGGCCTGGCTTCTTTCCTAGCCAGGCAGCCTGGCACTGGTTCAGGACAGGACAAGGGGTTGGCTTCTACTCAAAAAGTGATGGCTTCATAAGCACCTTCTAGGAAGTGTCCTCTAGCTCAGCAGGATTTACAGAGCAAAGGACAAGTGGTGGAACAACATCACCGCAGCCCTCTCTGACAACAGCCAGCACAACAGCAAAAGAACGGCCCAGCAGACATGTCCCCTGTCTGGGCTGCCTCAGCTCCATGTACTGAAGGGGTCTCTTGCAGGGTGCTGGAGTCCCTCTCCTCCACACTCAGCCACCCAGAACCCACAGCCAGGCCAGCTGACATCCCTGCAATCAAGTTGCCCCAGAGGGGTGCTGCCTGCATGCCTCTGCAAATCCCACCTGGACAAATCCCACTTTGACCTTCAGAGATTCAGAGGAGCCACAGACAAGCAGAGCAGCCCTGTAATCCTACCATCTGCCAACCCCTAATTGGTGCAAAAATCCATACAGAAAACTCTCGCGCTATGCCCTACTAAAGTCAGCTGGCTGTTGGGGGCCTACAACAAGGCTAGCAAGAGCAACCTTCTCTTTGCTGGTGACCTCAGGTTTTGTGCTAAGAAGCTTAGGGAGAATCAGGGCAGGCAAGCCACTGCCTACGGATGGCCTGGGAAGATGAGATACAAATAAACATGTGGGTGGCCGGGGAAGATAAAATACAAGTCATCTGAGCCTGGGGCTGCTCTCTTTCACGTAGGGTATAGAAGCAGCAGGGAGCTGGCACCCAGAGGCAGGAGACATGCAAGCGAGAGTGGTCCTACCCAGCATCTACATGAACCTCCTCTCCTTGGGCACTTTAGCTCTGGGATTCTTCAGCCTGTCAAGGAAGCTCAGCCCAGGCCAGCCCAAGGTGGGGTTCTCTTCAATCAGAAGAATTCAGGCTCCAGGCCCACACTGACCTCCCAGCCAGGCCTTGGAGAGTGGGAGGGGAAGGGGATGCATCTTAGGGAGACTCTAAGAGCCACAGTATTAGCTATTGGAGACATGCTCTGGGATTGCACCCAAATGATCATTCACGCTGGTGGTGGGCGAGCAACACTGCTTGTGGCAGCACCATTTCCTGTGGAAGGTGAACTGCACAGGGCTGGGGAAACCCCTTTGCAGAAAGACTCTTTGTTCGCTTTGCTGGCTTTCTGGGACAGAAGCTAGCAGCCATGTGACTTCTGGGAAAGCCAGATATTGTTCTGGAGCCCAGAGATGGCACCCCGCTGCCCTCCCCAAGCAGTGGCCCCTGGAAACAGTGAACTTTGGCTTGGGTCCTGCCAGCTGTAGAATGGACCTGGGGTGAAGATCTCTTCAGGTACAGCAGAGATGCACCTGGGCTAGATTTTATAAGACTTTGCAGTGATCTTTTTTGGAATAGACCCAAAGGCAAGTTTGTGACCACCTCTGCCTGTAACAAATTTCTGCCGTGAGCTGGCACTCCACAAATCACTCAAGCACAGCTACATTAACAGCTCAGCAGTGACCATTAGTGACAGCAAAAAAAAGGGTTGGCAAGGCATACAGAAGACTTTTCCCATAGCCTTCATACATATGGTGGTAGCAGGCCTGAGCACGTGACAGGTGGTGGAGATTAAACAAGGCTGTTTAACTACATTCAAACCAGCCCACTCCTCAAGGATCATCTCCAGACTTCAGTGGTATCTGCCATAGAGCAGCAGAGTGTACAATGTGCCCCAGAGATGAATGATGCTCCTAAACCAAGATCAAAATCTTAGGGACAGCCAAAAATCCTACAAGATGCCTTGCAGGGCTCTCTCAGAGCAGTGTAAGCCAGATGTGCACACTTAAGGCAGACTCTCACCAAACATACAGCCACTGACCACAGGCCAGATGTTTCACCAGTCACAAAGCCCAGGCTGAACCCAGCACAGAGCAACTACATGACCAGCAGGAAATAAAGCAACTGAGATGGGGAGGCCCCTTCTTATCTGCAACTCAACGAAGCAAGAAATGGCTTCCTCAAGTTAAAGATCAGAAAAAGACTTACTAGAGCAAAGCAGCAAGAAGGGGCTGGGACTACGCCTGGGAGAGGGAGAGACACCAAGCCAGAACTGAGCTACAGAACTACCTATTACTAGGCATTAACCCCCAAGCACAGAAGGAATCCTGCCCCGGGCAGATTATCCCCATCTCTGAAACAGACCCAGGGGCTCTACCTCTCCTACAGGTAGGCAACTTTTGTGCGGCTTACCAGGCCAATAAATTGATTGGGCGCATTCACCCTGCATCTCAGCACCTTTACCCCATAACAGAAGGGGATGAAAGACAAAAGCCTCTCTGCTCCTAGTTTATTTTTTCCCCTCGTGCTAGGCAGACCTCATCTCCAAATCCCCAGGCTGAGGCATGGCACACCTCCACAGCATACCCAGCCAGAGATGTTTTGGTATGACAATGTCTGAGCTATGACCTGGCGAAGATGGCACAGGGTGAATTTTTGGCACTAATCTGCTAGATGCACAGGATCTGCCAATATGCCTCAATTGTGCCAACTGAAGTATGAAGGGAGCATTCAGTCCCAAAGCCCATTTAATCTCTAGTCTCTCTTCTGGGAGGGGACAGGAGTTAAACAGTGCCAGCAGCAGTGCTGATTTGTGGAATGCAGACACTCATCTGCTGAAGGTGGGATGCAGCCCTGAATTTGGGTCATGCAGGGGCATGGGGCACTGCCAGGCAGCAAGGACACGCTGTGAGCACTGACCCAGGCTGTGCTGGGATCAGTGCCCATGAATTGTTGGGAGGCTTCTACTCTCATTACAGAAGCTAGCAGGCACGGGTTTGAGAGCAAACGCCAGAGCGTCAGCTCACACGGTCACCTGGGAATAGCAGCAAAAGAAACTGGAGCTCCAAGGAAAGCAGAACTGAGGCTATATTTAGAGGCCTCACCAGATCTCCAGAGAAACCGTCTGCTCCTCTGCACCACACCAGAGCAAGAAACCCAACCCAGTGCCTCTGCCCTCTTAGAAGCATTGAATCATCGTTCCATCAGGTCCTGGAGATGCTCATGCCCAGTCTGCTGATTCCTAGCCACCTGCCAGGATGCACTCCTGCCACAACAGCCAGAGCTGCCACTCCAACAGAACTTACACCTACTATCCCCAGGCTTCTTCTGAGGTCACCCCAATTCCATGAATATGCCTCTGCCTCTTAATTCCA